ACGAAGTAATTCATTTTTAGGTTAATAATATAATTTTTTATAAATATAATAATTAATTATTCTGTCAAAACTCAATAATTATTCTAATTACATTTCTGATTTTTTATACTTAAAATAAAATGTTTATCATGTTCTTAATTATATTTATCTGCAATTAGTTACACGAATTCAAACATGAAACTTTAATAAGTTGTACTTACGTATAATTTACCTGTAGTCTTAAATTTTAAGTAATATATCAATACGTATTACTTTATACATAAAAATGATTTTAAGAAAATTTGTCAAATATTTTATATTATAGTGTGTATATATATATATATATATATTATTAACCTAGATATCCAACACGCTATGCGAGCCGACTAATCCCAGAACGACCACCTGCTTTGCAGATAGCCCGGAATCATCGCATTTGAACCTCCGTGGCCACAAGAGGATTCTTATTTCATCCCTACTGTTTGTTGAAAATTGTTAACTTTACCCCTGTATTTGTGAAATTGCGATTTTCATTTCTATGGGTTACAATACATTTTTGTTTTCGAATTTATGATTTATAATCTATTGCTGTTTTCGTCCCTCAACATATGAGTTAGCCTAAGAAACAAAAATATATAATGAATTACAAACCAAAAAAATAAAATCGCAATTTTCACAACCATATGAACAAAAATCCCACTTTTTTTTTATTAAACTGGATATCTAACCCGCTATGCGAGCCGACTAATCTCAAGACGACCATCTATTATGCGGGTAGTCCGGAGTAACCGTATTTTAACCTCCGTGGCCACAAGATGATTTTTATTTCTCATTGGATTTGAACCAATCAGATACCAAAAATTTCGGAGTATTTGGAGCCCGACTTTAAAAAAGTTAATCGAGCGTGAAATTATTTTCTCGAGCCGAGCTTGAATAACCTGCTCCTCGAATTGAATCGTTGCTAGTAAAAATTAGCCTTCAAAATTAATTATCATTCACCAATCTCAAAAATTGGATGTCTTACAATTAAAGATGACTTTTCACATTTGAATCTACAAAGAGAAACCACTGGTTTTTTGTCACTTGTTGATACCCCAAGATTATTTGCAGCTACAATGAGTCTTCTTCCAACTCCACTAGATTTACTTTGACCCCTCGAGGCTCGAACGTTCGTCGTTACCGAAGGCGTCGTTGGCGCATACTCCGACATTCGGGGTTTTGATTTGGTCGAAGTCACCTCATCATATACAGAGAAGTATTTGTTGATGATACCTGATACTGATACTGATACAGATGTTGATTCAGACGGTCGTTCACTCGTTGGTTCCATAATGGAACAAGCATTTGTCACTGTTTTCTTGGATATATGAACGGATCTCGGATCCGTCGTCATGACAGGATTCGAGGATGGAACACCCTTTCTCGTTCTTTTCTTTCGGTTTGACTTTGAGCAGTTTTTCTTCGTTCTATTTTCGCCATGAACGGCTTCGGATTGGGGGGTTGATGAAGCTTTCTTGTTTAAAGGGTATACTTCCGTGTACAAAAACCACGTTTTTTTGGAACCCCGAAAAGCGTGCTTTATGGGCATCGATTCAGGCAAGTGATAAAAGAAAGATTTCCGCTTAACCTGGTCGGGAACAAGAAGAAATTTCGAATAAGAAGCGTATACCGGAGGTGAAAGAAAAGCTTACCTTAAATCGATAGACTGCTATACCATCGATCCATCGACTTTGACATTTCCTATTCCGGGATAACAACTCGAATGCACGATCTCAAAATTTCCTACAAAAATCAAGATTTCCATGATCGATTTCAAGTCGAAAATAGTCTCCGATCATTATCTTTTGAGGGTTAACAAAAGATAGTAAAGAAAAGCACATATGAATGCATAGTAACGGTAACGGGATGGCGAATATGATGAACCCGGCATTATCCCATTTGGAGGTGGGATCTGGGAACGGTAAGATGTAAGCAAACCTGACCTCTATCCCAAAAGTAGAGTGGTTGTTTACGCGAAGACCCCTGGCTTGTGATAAATTACCAACTTACCCCTCTCCTTACGAGCCATTCTCAGATTGATCGCTGCATATTCTATCCTACAAGCAGCATCATCATAAAACCATAAACCATTGTTCATCATAAGCAGCAAATGCCAATTGGGATTTTCATTACCATCTTAAAAGGTCAAACTTTATGAGTAATGGGTAAGGGCATGTTTGTTGGCCGCTTAATAAGCTTAATGGGACTCGCAGCTTATCCGGTCAGCTATACCTATGCATGATTGTTTGGTAGTCACTTAATGATATAGAATAAACCTGTAAACCGTTTTGATTTGCACATCAACCATTCAATTTGCTTGCCCTAAAATTTTCGTTTGCATCATCCCCTTTTCGTTTTTCTGTGTTGAGATTGAATCAACCAAGAATTTACAGGCACAATCTGCGTATCCAAACCCTAATTCTTTTTTCAATTCGTTACTTGATTTGCAAAAAACAGTACATAAAAACTAATCAAAGTACTGAATAAGGTAGGAACGAAACGAATTTATACTCCAATTTTGAATCTAGAAAACGGTTGAAGATGGAGAGATTTGATCTTACTCTTAAATTCGGCAACCGTAAGATCAGGAGAGACGGAGATCGCAATGTGGGTTCCTAAGCTCGTGTCGATAAACACAGGGACTTCAATGGCGTTTGAAGCAGAAGCCATTGAAACGGCCAATGAACCCAACAAGGTAACAAGGGTTTTAGCAATCTTGAATTCTTGATGGTTTATCGATTCTGATCCTTGTTAAATAGTTTCAGTTTAGCCCCTTAAATTTTGCATAAATTTAACTTTAGTCCCTTGGTTTTATAAAGTATGAGTAAAGCTTGACTATTTGAGTAAAAAAAATTATTAACTTGGATATTCAACCTACTATCCGAGCCAACTAATTCCATGGCAACCTCATGTTTTGCAGATAGCTCAGAGTCACCGTATTTGAACCTCCATGATCACATGAGGATTCTTATTTCTCCTTATATTTGAACCTGATACCTCATTGTACATTTGACTTTTGGAGTCAAGCTCAAACCAATCAGGCACCACCCTTGTGGTTTATTTGAGTAAACTTTTTGGCCTTTATTGGTTGCATACCTTATTAGTTCATTCTAGTTGGTTGTTTGACAAATCTTAAATGATTAAATGATCATAATGATGAAGATGGATCAGACGAGTTGGACGGATTTGGGTGGATAAACAAAAAAATTGATCGGATTTTGGATGTAGAAACTAAGTACTGAGTTTTGGGTTTTGGATTTATGGTTGCTTCGGGTGTGGGTTGATCGAGTTTCGGGTTGCGGTCGACGGGTTTGGGTATTGTTATAATTTAAAATATATATATATAATCGATTTTGATGATGAATTCAATCGGTTGAATATAATTGATGAATAAACAAATAAATATATTTATATAATACTTATAATACAAAATTATACGTGTATTTCAGATTTTCAAATGGATTTGGTGGCCAAAAATCAAACTCGACCCCAACCCATGGCTCCATTTCTCACACATGGATAATCTCGAAAGGACATATATTACAAATTAATTACTTCAGTATTGAATAGGCTTATGACAGTGATAGGTGGATTCAAGTAGTTTAGTTAGGTCATCTTAATTGTTCATTTTTTATACTATATTATAAAACATTTGATAAAAACTCTTAAAAATCATTTTTTATACATGAAATACTGTTTATTGATGCATATTACTTAAAATTTAAGATTATAACTATATAGTGCATAAGTACAACTTATTAAGCTTCATATTTAAATTCGTGTAATTAACTATAAATAAATATAATCAAATACATAGTAAAATTCTCATTTTAAATATGTCTAAAATATAATTAGGATAATTATTAAATTCTAACAAAATACTTAATTACTATATTTATAAAAATTATATTATTAAATCAAAAAAAATTTCTTCGTCATTAAACCTAAATTAAATTATAATAAGAAAAATTGAATTAAGGAAATAAAAAAAACAAGAACTTATATATATATATATATTTATGATATATTCAAATTTATATTTAAAAAAAAACATTATTGATGTATGACTTTTATACTCCAAATATTTCATTAAATAAATATTACATTATAATATATTTTTTATTATCAAACGCACCCTAAAAAGATCAAAATGTATTTCAATCTTAAGCTGGAACCACGAAATATATGTATTTGTGTAATTGAATCTAACTTTTACTTAATAAACGAAATGTTTGAATGTTAGAAGTCAACAAAAAAATTATAAAGAAAAAAACTCATAAAATTTGACAAATAGAGCATAAAATGTATAGAAAATCAAGTCAAATGATTCAAAAAAGGGCAAAGTGTATGAAAAAGTAACATACGTTATCTTGATTTCTATTTTGAGTAACATATTTTTAAAATTTTCATTTTGGTACTTAAGATGTAAAGTTTTAAATATTTAAGTACCTGAGTAACCGATTGAAAACTAATTTTAGATTTAAAAAACTAATTTAGATTAAAAAAAACTCATGACATTGACCATGTTAGCAAATAATACTGAGTTGGATACCACATCACTTGCTACATCAGCATGATAACCGGTTAATGCTTCAACCGGTTACCCGAGTACTTAAAATGTTTAAAACTTTATATCTCAGGTATAAAAATAGAAGTTTTAAAAGTATGTTACCTAAAATAGAAATCAAGTTAAAATAGATTATTTTTTCCTTCTAAAAATAACAATAAAAATAAATCAAGTTCTATTAAACTACAAAAAAATCACTTCCACCTAAAGAAATAAAACAATATTATGGAATAGTAAAGGGACTGAATTTGCAATTCACCATAAATTCAGGGTATCTCTTTGTAATTCCCATTTAGGCCTTTTTCTCAAATTCAAGAAACAGAAAAACCCACATCCAATTTCTTGTTTCTGCTTCTTCCTTTTTTCTACCATTTTAACCATAGAATTCTAATGGCAATGCTTCGCTTGCCTTCCATCCAAGTATGCTGTTTAACAGAGAAGAAGCATAAAGATTCTTCGAGCAAATCATTGAAGTTTGGAGAATCAAATTCAAGAACAGCAACTTACAGAAAAGGTTGAGCTTTTAGCCATAATTTTCATTAAAAAAACAAACCCATGAAGATTTTATCTATTTTTATATGAAGGTTCAAAGGTTTCTTGATTTTCTGTCTGTTTATTCACATGTGAATATGTGATGTTGTATATAGGTTCTGTTCATCAAGAACGCAAACCCCAGAAGGTGAATCTGGAAATTTCGCCTCATAGAGCTGGTAAATCCTAATCTTTTTGACTTGTTACTGTTGATATTTTCAGTTATTTTGTTACTTGTTTTGCTTCCATAGTTTTAGTACACTTTGGAGCATTTTTGTACTTTGAAACAGGTCATGTGTAGTGTAAATAAGACCCAATGTCATTATGTTTACCATTGGGACCGATTGATTGTTAGCAGCTTAATGAGACTCATAGCTTATTTGGTCGTCTATACATGACTTTTTGGTAGTGGCTTAATGATGTAGAAAGTGGCTTATTCATCAAGCTTTTAGAGGGGAGCTTTTGCAGAAAGCCAAGTTTTTTTCCCCAAACATACCCGTCTTAGTTAAAGAACATATTCCTTCTATCTATGAAAAAACCCTCCCGGGAAAAAACCTTCTCAATCTATACATACAAACTAATCCACACAAACAACTTTATCCATACATGACTCAATGAAAAACCAACCAAACAAGGTCTTAGAGTCAATGTCGGCTAGACTTGGAACTATTCTATGCAATATGCCTTGGAACCTTCCCTCTTTCTTTATGGGCTATTTTGAAGAGTAATCTAACATGGTTCCACGTATTCTCAAGCCAAGGTCTACCGCTCTAGGGACTCGACACTCGGGGCAGTCTGTACTCGTCTAGCCCCTCTCGACAAGCTGGGACATTTGTGCCCATCTAGCCTCCATTCGAGGGGGCGTATTAGAGCCTCGTATCGGCTAGACTTGGACCATTTATGCTCAAATATATGTTGACCCCCCTTCTCTCCTCTAGAGAGTAATCTAATCAGGTTCCATATATAGCCACTTGAGGGATTCAACACTCTGCAATCTGTACCGGTCTACCCTCCATTAAAGGGGGCATGTTAGAGTCCCACATCGGCTAAACTTGGTCCATTCCTCCTCAATATATATTGAAACCTCCCTTCTCTCCTCAAGGGCTCTTTCGGAAAGTAGCCTAGCAGGATTCTACATATTCTCACAACTACATCCTCCAATACGATAAATCACTAGTCCTCACAAATTTTGGAAAACGGAATTCTTGGAAATCAGGGTTTTTCTTGGAAACGTTCGGGTGGGAATGGGGAACTTTCTTGATGAGATTTTGGTTTCAGTTAGATGGTTCTCAATTCTTATGCATTTTCTTGATGATTATACAGTGTCTGCTGTGAGGTTAATGCGGATAGAGTTTGGTGGTGCCTTTGCTGACCTTTTAAACGAAAAAGGGAAAGGGTCCGGTGATAACGAGATGGGATATGTTGAAAGAACGCTTGGGTTTTGCACCCGAGATTTGGATGATAGAGATCTCCGATTGGTCCTTGTCTTACTCAAACTCTAATATCTCTTTATTATTCTTATAGTTTTTTTTACTTTTCCCATTCAAATCCATCTTTTGGAGTGGCCCATTAAAATCTGTTTGGAATATAGGTAACAGATATTGTTGGAGGTACAATTCGTTGGAGAAAATATATTGACTATTTGATTTTGTCCTTGTGCCATGACCCGAACGTTTTTAACCGTATGGAGCCTCTACTATTACAGGTACATTGGAGTGCTTTATTTCTTTCGTGTTTTTTAAAGTGTAAAATATTTTATGTACGGCAAATGCTCACACTCTTGACCTTTAGGGAGGCTAGGATCTGTTGGTAATCCGGATATTGTTGGGCCAATAACCCTTTGGTTTCTTTCGGTTTTTTTGGGCTTCCTTCTTGCTAGTAGCGTTGTGTTGTTGATAATTTTTATAGATAATATCTTGAGAATTGATCATAAGTGGCACAAGTTAGATTTTTATAAGGATGTTTTCCGATTATGGAACCTTGAACATCTTAGCTTGCTAACTCGATTCAGTTACCAACTTCAAAAATTTCTGATTTTTTGTTTATAGATTCTTCGGATTGGATTCTATGAGATTGTAAAGCTAGAGTCCCCTTCATATGCTGTTGTAGATGAGGTAATATCAATTGAATGACAATTTTCTTCAATTACTTTTTGGTTGGAGAAATAATATGAAAGTCAGGGGCTGTCTACCAAACTCTTATCGGGTAAGCGCTTACTGGGTGTCATTTACCTTACCAAGCCACGTGGTGAGCATGACAAGGACCCAAAATCTTACCCGGTAAGCGAGGGAGAAGATTCTTACCCAGTAAGCACTTACTGGGTAAAAGATGCTTACCAACAATCCATTTTCATGGCTGAGAATGTTACTCGACAAGGTAATTAAGGGTGGTGACTCTTGCCTGTAAGCGCTTATCCAGTAAGCATTTGGTAAACGGCCTCTAACCCCAACTATTTTGGAATAATGGGTTTGTTGTTCTTGCTGTATGTATTACTGAAGAATGTGAAGCTTGCAAAAATTGCCCTTAGGCCGGGTGCTGGTAACATGGTCAATGGAATTCTAAGGAAGCTCGTTTTGCTTAAGGTTTAGCCCTTGTATCACTTCTAGTCAGAAAATAAATTAGGCGGTAATTACAAGGATTCATAATTTGGCAATCATTATTATTACTCCCTTCGACCCAAAATAAATGTCCACAATGAAAAAGGCACAGTTTTAGAATTGTGTAATTATTACTCCCAATGTCAACAATTGAAACGACACACAATTTTAGGCATGTATTATTATTACACTTCTTTGAAATTGGACACTTGTTTTGGGACAAATATAAATAGAAATGTAGACACATATTTTGGGACAGAGGGAGGGAGTACACTTTTTAATTTAATTAAATGACAAATTTGTCCTTAATAACAGAGGGAGTAATGGATTTTTTCGTCCCATGATTTTGAAAGTAGGCACTTACTTTTGAAAAGGAACACTTAATGTGGATACTTATTTTGTGACGGATGGAGCATCATTTTTCTTGGGTCAATGTGGTATCAAATGTTTATATTTCTTGTACTGGCAAGGTTTCACTTAACGTGTAAATTGTTCAAATATGCAGGAAACTAACTCTCTTCCTTCACCTGAACTGGAGGGCGATGACCGTGCACAAGCACGTGCTCTTGCTATTCTTTATTCTCACCCAGTTGTAAGTTTAGCTTCTGTCATGTTCATGACAAGAAAAACTTGTAACCATCATCATGCAAAACTGATAAAATCGGTTTTATTTTTATCTTTTGATTGAAGTTGTAAGAATTCGTTATATGTGAAGTCAAAATGAAGCTCAATGGGCTTGGGCACTTGCATAAACTTCATTTTTTACACACTTCTTTTTTGGTAACTCGTGGGTGTCTTGGGGACTGTTTGTTAGCAGCTTAATAGGACTTACAGCTTACTCGGTCAACTATACATGACTGTTTGGTAGTGGCTTAATGATATAGAAAGTGGCTTATTCAATAAGCTTAGGGGGGAGAGCTTTATGCAGAAAGCCAAGTTTTTTTTCAAACATTCCCCTCCCAATTAAATAACATGCTCCTTCGATCGATGAAGAAAACCCTAACAAACAAAAACTTTCTCAATCTATACAGACAGATTAATCTACACAGACAACTTTATCCATAGTTCCATACATAACTTAATGGAAAACCAACCAAACAGCCCCTTGGTCTGCTTATGCACATTTTGACTAATCCCATGGGCCCTGAAGATAACAGTCAGAAAAATATCCAGTGACCCTGAAGAGACTCGAATTAGCTACCTATCGGAGGAGTCCCAAGGCCAAGCCTCTAATTGTCAATTGAGCTGGCCTTAATCTGTTGCTATTTTAGGCCATGGTTGACCACTTGATAGGCATATCGAGCATTTGAACCGACTATTTTTTTTCTCTTTGACGGTGGTGGATTAAACTTCGTGCCACTAAGTTACGGTTTTTATATCGTTTGGATCTTTGCTAAAAACTTTTGAACCGTATGTAGTGGATGGTGAGGCGGTGGACAAAATACCTTGGACGTGAAGAAGCTATTAAGCTAATGATGTGGAATAACAACTATCCCAGTTTTAGTCTAAGGTTCTGACGTAAATTTATCTCTTATAAATGTAGGGGCATGTTTCGTTAGGAGCCTAGAATTCATTAGGGACCCAGGAACTGTACATAGCACGACATGTAGCATATTCATCAAGAATATGAACGTGTTATTCGCCATGAATGTTGTAACATATTCAATGAATGCGTGATTCATGATGAATAACACATCCATATTCATCATGAATGTGTGATTCATGATGAATATTCATTCTGAAGAGGGACACGTAGCTCACTGAGGCTGGTCCTGAGTTCCTAATCAATTTTGGGTTCCTAATGGAACTTCCCTGTATATACATATATATAATCATGTTCAAACGAGAACAATAACCAAATAAGAGAATAAGAAAACGGTCGAATCACATGTGATCTTACACTAAATCACTTGTGTTTTTGTACATTACCGACCTCTTTCTTGTTCTTTTAAATAGTTAGCGTTCTCGTTTGAACCTTCCCCACCCATCTCTCTATATATATACATACATACATACATATATATATATATTATATATATATATATATATATATATACGTACAAAAGATAACATGACCATGTTATCATCTCTTACAAATTATGGTAGCTTATATCAGGGCTAACAGAGGCAAAGGTTTTACACGATCAGAGCTTGTGTCACGACTTGAAATGTTGAAGGTGCATTTTGCTTTCTTCCCTTCTTCCTCCTTTCCCCTGCAAGCATTGTATAAACAATTAAACATATGTTTGACTCTAAAAACATGCTGCAACACTTAGATTCATTGTGGATCAAACTTTCTTGTTCCAATCGACCTATTTTTCGTTAAAGTGCATGTTCTCTGTTAAGAGAAAAGTTAAATGAGAACCATAAATATTATGAGAACTTGAGAACGAACTATTTAATGTATTATTCATGATGAATAACCCTAAATAATCATGAATATTGTTCATCATGAATATCATGCATTTCATTATTCATGACATCATGCATTTTCATCATGAATATCATGTATTTTCATTTTCATCATGAATATCATGTATTTTCATTTTCATCATGAATATCTATCCTGACATTCATTATGAATAATTGGTTTCCAACTTCTCAATATTTATGGTTCCTGTCCTTCTTTGTTAAACTTCAGGTACCCTTTGAGCTCTCTCCTCACCTGGATGATTTTGTTCGTATCAGCACAGGAATGCAGGTACTCAATTGTCAAATTCTTTGTGCAATAAGGGTGCGTTTGGTTCATTGGATTGGACAACGAACAAGGATCACTTTTCCACGTTTGACAGGACTTTTATGTGGAACAAACAAGAACAGAGTGGAACAGGCGTGTTCCACCCCCATCCCATGGAACAAGGTGGAACAGACATACATTTTACCAATATAACCTCAAAATAAAACCTAATTCTCTTCTAAAACATCAAATACGCCCCCTTTACATTTTATCTATTCTTTAAATTTTATTTACTGTATTTTATATTCTTTAAATTTTCACTTTACTGTTCTCAAAATATTATTTTTATACAGTTTCTATATTTTGATTAGTTTATGCAATTTATTAAATATTAATAATAAAAAAATAATAGAGAAAGGGTATAAAATAAAAATTGGAAACTACATATATATTTTTTATTTTGGTGTCATTTTAATCGTTTTGACGAAAAATTTCTAATGATATATTTTGTTATAAAAAGTATTTATTATACTATAATTAATTAAAATATATAAACAACTCATTGGGGGTAAATTTGTCATTTTATATATTCTGTCTTACCAAATGTTGAACAACTATTATGTCCTATTCTACGTGGTTACCAAACGCACCCTAAGGCTATGTGGTATTCATATCGTTGTTTATGGACATAGATGCATTTAAGCATTGATGAATCAAACCAAAGTACACATTATAACAACGTTGTTTACTTCATGTTCAAACGGATCGACATTTAAATCCGAGTAGCTATTATATGGTTCTATTTTGGCCAAGAAGGCCATTTCAAGTGTTCTTTTGGTAGCTCCTATCAAGCTATGGAGAAAGTGAAAAAATTTCATCTTTACGACGTGTACTAGTTGCAACAAATTATTTCAATATAATTGATGGAAAATCTATGAAAACTAACAAACTCCCCGCAAATTTTTCAAGGAAAAGCCATGTGGTACATGTTCTCTTGGATATAGGTGGTGTTTGTTTTTAACAGGGGTTGAAGTCTTAAGTCTTATCTCACTTGTGATTGATAAGAGATGGTGTTGAAGTCAGGGGTGGACCCACATGGATAGATACGGTGGCACGGGCCACCACTTCATGGTTCCGTCATAAGGGGAAAAGATTTACGTTTCTAAAGGGTGCCATCATATTGTTTTGTTGGGTGCCACCTTATAGTTTTTTAAACTGAAATGTTAACACTAGACTTTAATGGCTAAGATGGTAAATGCTCCTACCTTTGTACCAAAGACCCAGGTTCGAGTCCCACAATTGTCAAATTTGTTGTTCTTAGCTTAAATTTTGGTGTTTTCTATATACCTCGTGTTTTTTGTAAAAATATATGTAGACCGGACTCGAACATAGGTCTTTTCTATGTAAGGACAAGGAACCAACCAACACATTTATACTAATATTGTGAAAAAAAAGTTGTTCAGATATCTCTTTATAGTTAAATCGGGCCACCACTTAAAAGAATTTATGGGTCCGCTTTTGGCTGAAGTTTGAAAGTAGAATCAACAAGATTGTTTGGTTTTGTAAACCAATGGATGTTTGAATTTGTTTAGTCGTCTATTTTACCCCTCAGAATTGAGATAACTCTTGTGCATGTGATAATATTTGTAGAGTGTTATACAAGATGGACTACTAAAAGAAGGTTTATGTTCGGTCCAAGATGAGAGTGCAGGTTGTGTTTTTCATTCAAGATTACATCTGGGCTTCTGGTTAAATCTAGAATTTTCTAGATGCGGATATTATTTTATAGAGTGGTAATGACAATGAATTTGGGGCAGGTTTGGTGGTTTCCATTGTTGACCCGCAACCTGGAGAGACAATAATCGACTGTTGTGCTGCTCCCGGAGGGAAGACCCTCTTCATGGCAGCCTGTCTGAATGGGAAAGGTAATCTCTGAACATATTTCGACTGTATGAAAGCTTGAATCAATATTTAGGGGTTGTTTGGTTAGTTTTTCATTTAGTCATGTATGAATAAAGTTATATGTGTGGATTAATTTGTCTGTATAGATTAGGAAGGTTTTTGTTTGGGAGGGTTTTTTCATAGATGAAATGAGCATGTTTTTTAATTGTGAAGGGAAGGTTTGGAAAAAAAACTTGGTTTTCTGCATAAAGCTCCCCCCTAGAAGCTTATCGAATAAGCCACTTTCTATATCATTAAGCCATTATAAAACGGTCATGTATAGTTGACCGAATAAGTTATGAGTCCCATTAAGCTTATTAAGTTGCCAACAAACATGGCCTTATGTTGTTATAGATTATATATCGAGTAGTTTGAAAGTTTAAATAACCCTCCATGTACCTTATGGGCTCTAGGTATGGTAACGGCAATTGACATAAATAAAGGACGCTTGAGGATCCTCAAAGAGACGGCCAAACTGCAACTACTTGATGATGTCATCACTACAGTCAATGCCGATCTTCGTACATTTCCTGTGAGCAACTTTCGGTGTTTTTCTATACTTCCATCATCAATTTTCAGGGGGATTGACTGAAATAATAGTCGATTCCATCAACCAAATTCTCTTTTTAGCCACTTTCCAGAGCCTCTTCCAAAAATAGCCGGTCTTTACGTAAATGTTTTACGCATTTGCATAAAGACTGATTTTTGGGGGAAAAAGAAAAAAACCCTTAGGATTCTTTACGCAAAAATTTGCATTCTTACACAAAAATATGAATCTTTACGCATTTTTTTTAAAGATTCTGAAAAATCAAGTTTACGAAAATGCGTAAGACATTTGCGTGAACTCCGGCTAAAATGGGAATTCAGTTAAAAGAGTGGCTAAAAAGTGAAGTTGATCTGGGAGATTGACTATTCTGTGAATTTCCCAATTTTCAGTCTTCTCAACACCTTGGGGTAGAGGTTAGTTATGTGTACATCCTACCCTCCAAAGACCCTACCTCTGTGTGGGATAACTGGGTTCGTTTGGTTTGGATAGGTTTTAGGGGTCGTTTACTAAACGCTTATCAAGTCACTAACCTTACCAGGTGAGTATGGTAAGGACCTAGAATCTTACCCGGTAAGAGGAAGTGTGGCAACAACCGAGGTTCTTACCCAATAAGTGAGGGAAAAGACTCTTTACCTAGTTAGCGCTTACCGGGTAAGTGACACTTTTTGATGGCTGAGAATGTTACTCGACAAGCTAAGTGAGGGTTGAGATTCTTGCCAGTAAGCACTTACCCGGTAAGCATTTGGTGAAAGTCCCATTTGTCTTGCTACATGATCTGTTTTATAGGTGATGGTGTTGATGTTCTTGAGGCACTCACTTTTCTTCATTATTTCAGGAGAATAATAATGAGGCATATGAAAAGGTGTTGTTGGATGCTCCTTGTTCCGGACTTGGTGTTCTTTCCAAGGTTTTCTAGATATAAACACCTATTCGCAACTTTTTGCTTGTTTTCTTGTTTTGATTTGTGCGCCTGCATAGGGGCAAGTTCAAACGAGAACCCAAAACATTTTGAGAATATGAGAACCAACTATTCATTCTTTTTCATAATGAATGAAGTGATATATGTTCTCATATTCATGATGAATGAATTGATAGATGTACTCATATTCATGATGAATGAAGTGATAGATCTTCTCATATTTATGATGAATGGGTGATAGATGTTCTCATATTCATGATGAATGAAGTGATGGATGTTCTCATATTCATGATGAATGAAATGATGGATGCTCTCATATTCATGACGAATGAAGTGATAGATGCTCTCATATTCATGATGAATATTATTCATAATGAAAATACATTATATTCAAGATAAAAATGCATATGGTATTCATGATGAAAATGCATGACGAATAACATTCATTATCATCAAGGATTCATGATCATTCAGGGTTATTCATTATGAATAATACATGAAATAGTTGGTTCCCCGATTCTTAAAATATTTATGATTCTCATTTGAACTTTCATCCACATGCATCATACTATATAAAATTTGCATATCTTGCAGAGAGCAGATCTACGCTGGAATAGGAAGTCGGAAGATATGGAAGAACTTAAAAGTTTGCAAGATGAACTTCTTGATGCAGCTTCCATGTGAGCGGACTCCGTATTTAATTAGAAAATGACCACCGGAAGATTAATTGGGTTCAGGAACTTTCTTTTTTAACCTCGATCACTTTGCAGATTGGTAAAACCTGGTGGAGTGCTTGTGTACAGCACATGCTCGATTGATCCTGAAGAGAATGAAGAGAGGGTGGCTGCATTTCTTCTCCGGCATCCGGTACTAAAACTTCATGTTTAATTGCATTTCTCCTTTGTTCATATTCCGGTCCGAAATAAGTGTTCACATTTCTATTTTAGTTTGTCCCAAAATAAGAGTGTACTTTCCCATTCTACCCTTAATTATGAGATGGAGAAATTCATTACCTCATATATCACCAAGGGTAAAATTGTCATTTTGTTAACTAAAAGTGTAACAATTACACATTTACAAATACTAGGGTCATGTTCAGGGGAAAACCGCAGAAAAAATGAAAAATTGAGGAACACCCTCGTAAATGTTCATATGGACAGTATGCACATGTGCATACAAGTAATTTGTAAGCAATTTGTTTGGTATGCACATGTGCATAACGTGCATAAAAACCAAGAAACAACTTCAATTACTTGTGTACACATGTGCATACAATCCAGATGAATGGTGACCAAGGTGTTTTTCATTTTTCCTTTTTTTGGAGGTTTTCCCTGAACCTCCTCTACAATACTATATGCCTTTTTCATTGTGGACATTTATTTTGGGACGGAGGAAATACAACAATAACAAACCTTACAAACGTGGTTGCAACTTACATTCATAAACATACTTGTATATTGAATGCAACAACCGCTTTACTCTTTGGGATAGAGAACTAGTCTTTATACATCCCGTCCACCAAACCCCACCCCACCACCAGCACTGGGCTCGTTTGGTTTTACTTGTATACTGAACAGTTCATTGTTTGAATTGCCCGAGTTGTAACATGTCTTGATCTACCAGGAATACGACGTAGATTCTGCAGATAGATACATATCGCCTGAATTTTTGACCGAGCAGGGTTACTATTTCTCTAGCCCGGTGAAACATTCTCTCGATGGAGCCTTTGCAGCACGACTCATTCGTAGCTCGTGATTGTCTATTTCGATGCAAGTGAAGATTTCCGCTTCTTATGAAGCATCTAACGATTAAGAGCCGGATGAAGCAGTTTGACAACGGTATCTCTGAGCAAAAAGCTAGCTCATCGTTGTAACTTTCACTACAACAAAAATTGAGTTTATAGGATGCTTAACATGTCTAAAAGTTCTAATAGAATATATTTTAGTACTTTTGTTTATAAGGTCAAATAATAAACATCCTATCTAAAAGTGTTACAATATTTTCATTGGACGTTTTTACAAGTTTTTTAGGACATTTTTAAAATCAAGTGTTGTATCAGGTGTTGTATGGGACACTTTTTGAGAAGTGTCCTATAAACCTATCTTTTTATATGACACTTATGTTTATAAGACATTTTTTCAAATAGTATCCTATTAAATAGCTAATACGACACTTTATTTTAAAAATAGTTTTAAAAAACTTGTTAAGACGGCCAAAAGAGTCCTATAAACCAATTGTAATGCTTTTAGGTGGGACGTTTTATTGTTTGGTCATATATAAACAAGTCCTATAGAGTATTCTATTAGGACACTTAGGGGCCATTTACCCAAATGCTTACCCGGTAAGCGCTTACCAATAGGAGTCAAACACTATAATTTATTTTGATGCGTAAGATTTTAGTACATCAAAACATATCGAATGCAACAATTTACTGGGTAAGCGCTTACCTGGGTAAGAGTTACCATCCTCACTTACCAGGTAAGACTCTCCATCATTTTCATCGCTCTTAAGATTCTTGACCCTTCTCATGTTCGTCCAGTGAGGAAATTTATGCGTTAAACACTTACCAAGTAAGTGTTTAGTAAACGGCCCCTTGTACTCAATTTTGTTGTAGTGTTTGATTTGTTTTTTTTCCTTCTTTTTTGTAAATAAAATTCACCACGTTGATGCAACTTTTTTTTGTAGTTCCCTAAAAGGGGAGGCTGAGAGGGTCAGGAGGAGGGGAAGGTCGAGGAGGACATGGCATGAGCAATTGAGGTTGGACATGGTGGCCTTGGATATTTCCGAGGACATGATATCTGATAGGATCACTTGGACACAGAGGATTAAGTTAGCAGACTAGGAATGAGGACCTGTATGTCTGGCGTAGTCGGGCAAAAGCGAATTGGACAAGTTAGGAGGGGGTAGAAGGCTGACAGTTTAGGCTAGGGATGTGCTTTTGCTTTACTTGCTTTGCCATACCTTTTGTGTGCGTTCAGTGTACCTCTTTGTACTTATTCTTACTTACTTTTTTCTAGTGTTTTGTTCAGCGTATGCGAATTTTTATTTATGCTACCTGTTTTGCTCTTAAAAGAACTCTTGAATAGTCGCTCTCTTCTTTAGGATAAAGGCCGTGTATGCATACACCTGACCCCCCACCTAAAAGACCTGATTTTTGAGTGGGATTTACTGTGCCCGTTTGATCTGGTTTGGGATGGTTTGATTGCAACACAGAAGCAAGGCATCATTTGAGTCATTGGTGGAGTTCTTGGTTGTAGGGATATGCCTGGTGCGAAGGGTATACTTGTATAAGTTAACTTGAATAAACATAACTTTTAATCCATTAAAAATCTACACATAATATTTAATATCTGTTGCATTGTTGAAAATTTTAAAAGTATATCCGATAAAAAAATTTAAAATTTTAATCTACACATTTGGTGAACTTTGAACCTCTGGTCTCCTATGCGTTTGGTTTGCGAGAATGTTTATGAGGGATTTGGATTCCTGGAGGGATTTGGATTCCATGGGATTTGGATTGGACTGGATTTAAAATCCATTCCTGTGTTTGGTTTGCAGGATTTGGATTTGATTACAGGAAATTAGGGCAGAACCCTTGTGCATTTTCTATTCAAGCAGACCAGAATCGAGCATTTCGAATGCTATAGAAAAGGGGTTAATCGATTACCTGCTGTGAGTGATGGGAGACGCCGGCAAACAGGAAGGAAGACAGCACCGGCGAAGAAAACAACACCGGCGAGGAGGCAAACCTAGGGCACAACTTCGCAAGGGACGCGACGGGAAGGAAGACAGCACCGGCGAGGAAGACAGCACCGGTGAGGAGGCAAACCTAGGGCACAGCTTCGCAAGGGACGCGACGGGAAGGAAGCGGGAGGCGTGGGTGAAGCAATCGATGGGAGGGAAGCGATGGGAGGGAAGCGATGGGTGAAGGAAGCGGGAGGCGTGGGTGAAGCAATCGATGGGAGGGAAGCGATGGGTGAAGGAAGCGGGAGGCATATGGGAGGGAAGCGATGGGTGAAGCAATCGATGGGAGAAGATGGAGAAGATGAAATCCCAAGGGGATGGGATTTTGAAATCCCATGTATTTTCAAAGGATTTTGAAATCCATGGTTCACGGGATTTCAAGTGAATCCCAGGATTTGAAATCCTATCATTCCTACAAACCAAACGTGGGATTGGAATGGATTTCAAATCCAAATCCCTTCAAATCCAGCAAACCAAACACGCAGGTTAAAGACTATGATACCGTTAAGTCAAATGTCCTTTGATGATTTCTCAAGTCTTTGAAGAAATAGATGTAAGAGAAAAAAAATGTATTGTGGTGGAACCAAAACATTTTCCATATATTTTTGAACAAATTGCATAAAAACGTAACGTACTTTAATTTGATTCTTATTTTAGGTAACGTATTTTCAAAACTTCCATTTTCGTATCTAAAATGTAAAGTTTTAAACATTTATGTACCCACGTAACCGGTTGTAAACTAATTTTAGATTAAAAAAATTCATGTTACATCAGCAAATAATACTGAGTTGGATACCACATCACTCGCCACATCAACATGATAACTGGTTAATGCTTCAAACGGTTACCCGAGTACTTAAATGTTTAAAACTTTACATCTTCGGTACCAAAATGAAAGTTTTGAAAATATGTTAACTAAAATAAAAACCACTTTAAAGTAAGTTACTTTTTCATCCACTTTGTGTTATATTTTTAATTAAAATAAATTTCATCAATATTATTTTTTAAATGTAAGTACTTTTTTGGTATATTTGTTTTATTTTATATAATTTAAGTATTTTTTTGGTTCAAAAAATGTTTAGAGATTTTATCGTTCAAAATATGAATGTTCATTGGCTTTTTTTCATACTTTTTCCATTATTTTACTACGTTAATTAATTTTATAGGGTATAAGAATGTATATAACATGTTTTAAAAAGTTTAAGAAATTGTTTAACAGGTTTTGAAATATCCAAAAACTTATTTATTCTAAAAAATTATTTAAATATTTAATCATTACAAACACTATATTAATTTTCTTTTTAGACTTTTCCCATATTATTACGTTGTTACCGTCTCTTACATGGGTAGAGTATTGCGCACTTGCATGCTGTGAAATTGAAAAACCAAAAATACCCCTCGCTAGAAACCCTAGTCATTCACCGTTGCCGGTCACTCCCTGCAGTGCACTCTCGTCTCTCCGGCCGGACGGCTCTCGAGAAAGCTTCAGTCGTGGCCTCTTCTTCTCCGTTATTGCCGTCTTCTCTGCCTTTTATTTTTCTTCAATTAATGCTCCCGTAGGTGCTCGTTTGACCGTCGGTAAGGTTGCAATTCACAGTTTCATATTGTTGCAATTAGGTCGTCTTATTCTCAATGTTTCAATGGACATGCTCCTCTTTGGATTCGTTTCTGCTTGCTGCTTTTGCTACTTTTTAGTAGTTTGGATTTGATTTAGTTTCATTATTAATGGAAAAATGACGATGGATGAACGAGCACAGCACAAAAAGTTGTTCTGTTGTTGTTATAGTAGTTGTGATCATTAATGGCCCTGTTTGATTGTTTGGTCTTTTCTGCTTCCGTTTTTGTGTTTTACTTTGTGAGTTTGAATTCGGTTGCTATTTTATGGGTGATTTAATTCTGTTATGTTTTGTAGTATAGTGCAATGAGGTTTTTCCTTTGATAAAATTTAATCATCATGAACCTCAATTTATTACTTTTTATCTGATTTCGTGAATTTTGATCTGTTAGCATCATCTCATAATGCCTTATGCTGCTACTTTACAGAGCCTCTCAAAGTCGGGGTCATGAAGAAGTATCAGAGACTGTGAAAGAGGATATTGGTATGAAGCAACATTGGATGGTTAGGGCAATCTCCAAAACCCTAACCCTGATTCCAATTCCGTTTCATTCATCTCGTGCTTCCTTTTCCTCCCCTTCTTCGAGTTTCGCTCTCAAGAATGTTACTAGGTCCAACTTTGAGTTGTCTCTTGCTGACCTTCGTCGTCACGTCAGAGACTCGGATTTTGTGTCAATTGACTTGGAAATGACTGGAGTGACGAGCGCTCCTTGGAGGGAGTCATTTGAGTTTGACAGATTTGATGTTCGTTATCTCAAGGTGAAGGACTCTGCTGAGAAGTTTGCAGTTGTTCAGTTTGGGGTTTGCCCCTTCCGTTGGGACTCCACCAAGCAGTCATTCATTGCCCATCCGTTAGTCTTTTTTTCTTTACGCTTACGTTGCCAATTTTTTTAAAAATAACATTCTATAGACAGAATTTTACAGTATGGGAATAACAATTTTATGATTTGCTTTGAAAATGAGAAATGAGGGATGGGGTAACTAAGAAATGGGTTAAAAGCTTGAAATCCTGCTCTACCTGATGGTCAGATTAATAAATAGGTAACTAAGAAATGGGTTAAAAGCTTGAACTTGAGTTCTTTGTAACTATTGTAACCTGACGTTATGAGTTCTTGTGACAGGCACAACTTTTACATATTTCCCCGTCAAGAAGTTGGAGCTTATGACCCATCTTATGAGTTCCTGTGCCAGACTGCCTCAATTGATTTTTTGGCAAAGTACCAGTTTGATTTCAATCTGTGTGTAAAAGAAGGTATTTATTTTATCCCTTAGGTTATTTCTTATGAGTAGCATGCTGGTTTTTTATCCAAAATAATGAATTTCAGATAAATGTAGTTCCCAGATAAATTGGAGGTTTTGTGATCTTGCTAAGGGTCTACCTTAATATCTCTGGTCAGGAAGGCTGAAATTATTTCCTTGCTAAAATTGAAAATACCGACTATTTAATCATCAATAGTGTTTTGTTATTAGTAATAGAAGTATGATGCTAATTGACTCACACAAATGGAGGATGATTGGTAATGTCAAAAAAATTCGCTTTGCATACATTTGACATTAGAGATAAAAGATCCGGTTTCAACTGTTTATAAGGGTGCATAATATGTTAGGGTCAGATATTGCATAAGCCTATCACCCTAGCTAAAAGGATGCTAAGATAAGATTGTGCATTTGTTATTTTACAATTATTTTTTTGCATAATATCTTTATCTCTTCTTTGCTCCTTTGAAACTGTTGGAAGCATCAAAATTATAGGATTGTTATTCTGAATATTTAGTGTTTGTTCCTTGACTTTTGTCTCTTAGCGGCTCATAGAATTGTTATGCCTCGTTAAGAGTAGATGCTTGATGGGGGATGGGGGTAAGTCTACAATTTTTTGTTACTCCTTAAGCGACTCTTTATTGCTTGGATTACTTAGGGCTTCTTGATCAACTGCATAGGAGTTGGTGTCCCTCGAAGCTCAAATTATCAAGACTTTTCTCAAGTTCGACGGAATCTTTATAGTCATTCCGAGCAACTATTATAATGGAACAGAAACCAGTTGTTTAGAAATGTACTTTTATTAAATTTTCATATGTCTACATAATAGAAAATTGATTGTCTTGTATATTCAAATGAACAGCTTAAACTTCCGTTAAATCGCCACCTTAGGCGATTAGTGCCAGATGACCACTCGACCGCATAGTTCCGCTCAACGCTTTTAGAACATTGTTCATGAACCTTTATTATTAGATGGTATAGTTTTATTTTAGTTTTATTATGTACTACAAAATCCATTGTGGTAGTTTATTTGCACCCGTTTTTTGAGCTTTTACAACCTTGGGTAAATTCAGGAATATCTTATTTATCTAGAGCACTAGAAGACGCAGCTAGATTACACTTACATTCAACACATGAAGATGAGTTATCAGAGTCACCATGCACAACCAAAGAAATTAAAGATGTTCCATTGGTTAGAATGGCAGATATTCTTTTTGTGGAGAGAATGAGGAACAAAATCAGTGAATGGCATGATGACCTGTTACAGATTAGAAATAGAAGGTCCAGCCAGATTCCAGAAGACTCTAATGACTCCATGAATCAGTTTCAGACCATCTTTTTTAGGATGCGTCCAGCCATCAAACTGAATGGATTCACTTCCCGCCAGCTAAGGTTGATTAAGTCGGTAATGTTTTTTATATATAAATCTTGAAAACTAATTTGCACATGTTTCCTAATCATTATAACTTTGTTTTGTAATATATACATCTGTTTTGTAATTATTTCCATTATAGCTTTATTGGAAGAAATTCAGAAAAGCATTTACTATTGTCTTATGCATTGCTGGTCTATGCAGATCTAAAATTTAGAAGTTACACCTTAAATCCTTGACAAGAGCTAGCTAAGACTCAAACTGATATGATAGACAACTGCGATGAGAGTATTAGGTGTTGTTTGGTTTCTCTGATTCTGACGGGAGCTAAAGGAATTGGAAGGGCCAATTCTGTTGACCAAATTCCATTCTGGCGTTTGGTTCATTTTTTGAATGACGGACCTATGAATTCCTCTATTTATGATTTTTTTCATTTAATTTTAACTTGCAAATGTGTTAACATTAGTATCATGGAATTTGCAACATTTAAATTGGCACATAATTTAAGGAAATTGTGTGACTATTTGCGATATTTAAAATACCATTCAATAATGACAAAACAATAAACTATTACCACTATCATGAATTTAATTATAAACGGGAATAATGGAAAGTAGGTAATTTAACATGAAAACTTATGGGGTAAAATGTTGCAATTTTCATTGGACATTCAGGAAAAGGTAAAAATGTTGCAGTTTTTATTGGATATTTGGAAAAAGGCAAGCGTTGTAGTTTTCATGGGAATGAGGGAATACTTGATATTGATATTTTGCAGGTTATACAAAAGAGCTTCAAAGATTTAGCTTACATCCGTGTAAATGGTGCTTCATGTTTAGAACAATTTATCGTCTACACAAACTCCAGAAGGGACCTAGAGTTGCTTATGGTAAGATACAAGTATTAATATTAAAATTTGTGGAGCTTATTATAATCTTCCTTTTGTTTCAAATGTACAAAGTTAAACTTCACATTGCATGTTCCAACCACATACAACAATATTGGTAAAAGGAACAAGTATTAAATCATTATTTTCATTCCTTTTTGTAGTACAATTTGGGGAGCAATCTGTTATGTCTCTCTGATTCTCTACTGTGCTACATATTATTTCTCATAGACGAGCGTGTTAAGTACCTAGTTCTTTTTTTCCTTGGACCTGGAAGTGATGATCTACATAGCATGGATTGCAATTTAGAGCAAGTCAGAATAATCCTTGTTAGGAACTTCAAGGGACTGCACCTAAGATAGACTTTGCAGTTTGGTTTGGCATTGACGCGTAGCTGCACACTCTCGACAAACCTTAACCACGTTCTTGAGAGCATTAAATGCTATATCAGGAGAACTATGGTCTTTCAAGTTCTGTGTGCATGTAGTAGCATGTTGTGGCAATACAAAAATATTATGGAATCGACAACTAGAGTGAAATGATTTAAAATAACATAGGATAATTATTGGAGTTTTGATTGTATGAATATCATCACTTTTCTACATTATCCAAAACATGAAATTTGGTTTATAATGTACTTATTCGTGCGTGTTTGAATTTTTGTAAACGGTGTGGTTGCTTCAAGGAGGTCCGTGTCTCAGTTCTCTTCTGGTCTTAAATAGCACTCAGTAGGATATTGTCGTACTGTTTATAAAATCTGTACCACCTTATGCAGAAAGAGGTTAAAGGAGACCTTTGCAAGGAAGCAGAGATGAAGATTGGAGCTGCCATTGGCTTTCGGCATGTGATTGACCTCCTTTCCTCCGAACAAAAGTTGATTGTTGGACACAATTGCTTTCTTGGTAGGATGACTTTTGGAGGCTGCTTCTTTCAAAAAGATGATTCAATTGACATACAACTAATCTTCTGTCTATTGAAACAGATATTGCACATGTATGTAGAAAGTTTGTGGGTCCTCTTCCTTCGAATCTTGAGGAATATGTAACCTTAGTTCAAAAGAACTTTCCATACATAATTGACACGAAGATCCTCCTGAATGCAAGTAATGTATTGCAATTAAAGATGAAGAAGAGTAGCACTTCACTGTCCAAAGCTTTTGCCATTCTCTGCCCACATATTGCTTCTGGTGTCAGCAGCTCTGGCTTGGCTCCTAGTTCTGTCACAGTTGAGGTTCAAGTGGATGATATGAGGTATGTTTTTCCTCTGGTATTTGAATGATATGGATTTGCAAATGTGATTGGCTTTATTTGTTCTTTACATTCAAGATTTAATAAATTTCTAGCTCATCACTTGGTGATTTATCTGTGGTATGTTTCCCTGTAGTATTTGAATAATATGGATTTGCAGATGTAATTGGCTTCATTTGTTTTTTACATTTAAGATTTAAATTATTTTTAGCTCATTATTTGGCGATATCTGTTGGATTCATGCCATGGTAACACAGTTACTTGCTTTATCATGTCTAATTTACAAGGAAATATTACATGCTTCGTATGCTGTCTGCATTTCTGTTGCCCTGTTGGTGACATTTCAAATCGAAAGCAAATGTTCCCTTCATTTCAAATGTAAGGATGCCTCCATTAGAAATTCTTAAATGAACAAATTGCTCTTTTTGGAACATAGACGGTAATATAAACCTGTTTCTTGTTCAAAGATGCGTTCATATTTTAGAAGGATACATTTGCATGATTTAGCCACACAGTTTCCTCCACGCTTGCAAACTGTTCTATTGCCTAGGTTATGGTTAGTGGGGTGGGTTGACAAAATGTCAAAACTATGTAGGAGCGCGAGCAAGGTTTTAGAAGGTGGAATCGGGCCTTGGGCCGTTTTCCCTCAACGTGGCCAGGCGTATGCCCCAAGGCAGAAACATACATATACCAAAATATGTATATAACCACACAAGTATATGTATACATTTATAAACAATATGTATAATACTAAATTACTAAGGGCGTTGGTGCAGTGGTTCTTGATAGAGGAAAGAGTGAACCGTGAGATAGGCTGAGAGGGTGTGGAAAAATTGGTTGCTTGGAGGAAGAGGAAGGGTCAACCCACACATTGGGGCCATTGGGCTTTGACTTTTAGTTTCTTAAAATAAAAGACACTTATACTATAAAGAGAAGTACTACTATTGCCATAAAGCTTATAAAAAAGCCGCAAAAACAATTACCGAAGCTGATCATCTGAGGTGTACGCCTTGACAACGCCTCACGCCTCGCCGACCCGCCTCACTAAACCAAGGCCTCATTCAGGGTCCAAGAGGCGCTGCCTCAGGTGCGATTTTGGGCTGCCTCGTCTCGAGGCGTGCGCCTCAAACGATTTTCAAAACCAATAGCACGAGAAATAGAGGGGGTTTACAACAGGGATTATTATGTATCATCCATAACTGTTGCAACCAATATAAGCATTATTGTCATTTTATCTGATTACGTGTTGCATTAAGAATATGTTAAACTCAACTTGCAGATCATCAAACTGGAACTCTGGAGCTAAGCATGAAGCTGGTTATGATGCTTTCATGACAGGGTGCATTTTTGCCCAATCATGCAGTCATCTTAATATTGATTTCAGCTCTCACTCAATGTTGATGAAAGAAGAGAAGCTTCAAAAGTACATCAATCTTCTTTACCTCAGTTGGAGTTGTGGAGATATAGTTAACATAAAAACTGGTGGAACTACAACAGAATCTTCAGCATTTAACACTTTCAAAATCCAACCAACAAAGATTTTGTTTCCAAATATTGCCATAATTTGGGGCTTCCCGTCAAAGCTCAAGGCAAGGGAGATAAAAGAATCTCTTTGTAAAGTTTTTGGGTTGACCTCAGTTACATCCATCTACCACTTGGATAGGACTGCTGTGTTTGTTCAGTTTAACAAGTCCGAATTGGTTTCTGATTTTCTGGAACTGAAATCGAGACTTGAGAAGAAGAATGATGCTATTTCTGTTTTTCACCCCCTTTCAGAACTTCTGGAAGGTGGAAACACCCGTGCTGCCTCTTATGAGGTATACAAAGAAATTTGTGGTTCCCCCATTTCGAAAGTCCTGTTTGCTGATCAAGCTGAAGCTGTTGGTATTAATTTGAACACCAAATTGTTAGAAAATAAGGTCCAAGAAAATGGTTCGTTTGCGAATTCACAATCTCCAATTGATACCAAGACAGCAGACATCAAACAACCATTAAAGTGTACCTCAGGTAGCAGCAAGTTTCCTAAAGGAGAAATGCTAGATATTGTATCCTGCTGAGACTCATATTGGCATGTAAGTTCCAAACTCTTGAACTCGACACTTTTTTTTAGGAGGCTAATATTGCTATCAGCTTTAAATTTTGGCTTAAGTTATTTGGTATTTTGTTTTCATAGCTGTAGATGGCAATATGGCATGTTATGACTCTACTGTTGTGTTTTCATGCATTCCTAGAATTTCAGATCTGGTATAAAACAAGTCGAAAAAAGAATCATCCAAGTTTTTAAACAATTAACGGATGGCTAGAACACAATTATAAAGAAAATATACTGCAAGAATCCAAACATAAACTGTAATTTAATACTGATGATGTTCCAATACGTGTTTAGTTATTATAGATGATAATTCAATATATACGATCACTGTACCAACAGAAATAAAGAAAAGGACCAATCTCCCATCGCAAAATCACATTAGTTGTAATCTGTCTTCTGTGAAATTAACCCAATTGTTAATATCCCCCCCCTTCAAAGTGTCACTGGGCTGTCAACCTAGTAGCTGTAGTTCGTCTTACGTGAATTTGTAGCAGGAATTTTGAGTTGTTGAGTCATACATGGGTCATGGGACAAGTGTATGGGTACTTTGTTTTCCTATGCTATGAAAAGATCCTTAGTGTCTTGAATTCCAAAACCGATTTGGAAATGAGAGGAGTCAGCCTTTAATCATGTATGTTGACAAGTTAATTGTAATTTATCCAATGTAGAGACTATAAGTTCTAACAATAAAATAGTAAAAGCATTTATATAAAATTTTGTATTTATTGAATTTGGATCACATTGCGTTGTATGGTTACAACCCTCCAAATAGTCTCTTACGAGCTTCTATTTTTTGATCATTATTGAGTTTACAAGTTAATTGTAATTTATCCAATCCGGAAGTAGTGTCCGGTCCGTGGAAGAACCGCGACGTACACAGACCTGTCCTCTACCCCAAGAAAGTGGGGTCAGAAGTGTCTTTTTATCCCTTTTATGCTTCAACCGGTTAGGACTCAAACGTGGCGTTGTGGATGCAGGTGCCGGGAGTTCTTGCAAGCTAATGTGAAGAAATAACAAACAAGTTTCGTGAGGTGAAGCAAAGCTGTATGTAAATGGTTCAAAACTCATAAAAAGAGACGGAGGATTCAAGGAAGTGATATTGAAGACAATAGTGTTGCAAGTGTTTTACTGGTATGCCGAAGCAGTATGGTCTTTTTTTTTTTCCGTAATCGGTTGTCGAAATTCAAGAAAATAGTGTTTTACAAACGAACGAACCGTTATATGTGCTCTTTGTCACATCAAAACGTCAAATTATGACGTTGGTTAATCGTTAGCCTAAGACCGAAGCAAAGACTAAATTAAACGAACCCAAGGAGTGGAATCTGGAATGTATCCAGATCTGTCCTTTACTTCAAAGAATCAAGGGGTTAACACTTACTGCGTAAGTGCTTACCTGTAAGAGTCATTTACCTTAACCAAAAGGTTTGTGGCGTAATGGTTGAGATCCCCATTGATAGAATATCTCATCTGCCCAGAGTTTGATTCCAGGCGTATGCACCAAATCTGCCCACATTAGGATTACTTGTCTACGGCTGATCAAATTTGATAAAGGGTACCTGTACCCGAAACCGACACAGGTGGGTTGGGAAGAGGAGAGATCAACGACGAAGCTACTAGCTACTAGTGGCCAATAAGTTTATCAGAACTGATTTCTTCCCGTCACATTTTGCCACGATTAGTCCAGATATGGCATGGGGCACCTTTTCAAAAAAAGCACTTGCCTTTTCTTGCGATAAGTGTTTACCAGGTAAGATTATTGGTACTTGTCATTCTCGGTGTAAGGTAAATGACACTCGGTAAGAGTCTGGTAAACGACTTGGCTGGCAGTGTGCAAAAGTATGAGGAAAAAAAATGGAAAGAAAGAATTAATGAAACATCATGTTTTTCTAATGGATATATTTGGATGTAACTTGAAAGAAAAAGAAAAGAAAACTGTTTTTTTTTTTTTGAAGTATATAATATAATTTAATTTATATACGGCAAATGGAACAAATAAATTCACAAACCCTCCTCATTATTGATGAGGTTAGAACCCTTGACCTCATAGGAGACAAGAGGCTCAGATACCGCTAGGCCAAATGCCCTTTGATTTGGTACTATTTATTTAAAGTTGAATACCTATCATGCACATTCAATAGGAAACTTATTGAGACGGACGGAATATTTTCGTAGGACAGTGTCGGTGGTCCGTAGGAATAGTAGAAAGGACAATCACAAAATCGTCTTCAATTAGACTAGAGTTTTAGACCGTGACAATTTTGTACCAAATCAAACCAACCGACATGTGTACCAACTGTATTAATTAAAGTGGTATCAGTCAATTACAATTGATTGGTAGTATCATACCAAGTATGCAAACTTGGTTGGTACACGGTATACGAAGTCACATACCACAGTAGTACCATGATACCAACTTATTTAATTATTTATTAGTTTTGTATTTTTTATATATTAAATATTAAACACTATAACTTAACTACTTTGTTTTAACATTTGAGCATTTGCAACTTTTATTTCTTTGGAATTAAAAACCCTTAAATATTATGTGGTGTTACGGGGAAACTTAAAAGGTCACTCAAAATTTATAAAATGACAAGTTTTTATATATGTAATTTGAAATTGGTACAAAACCAGTATCAACCAAAAAATATTGGTACCAAATATAGTTGGTCGGTACACAGTATAAAATTTTATATATTAATACAATTGATTGGTATACAATATTGGAGAAAAAAACTTGATATCGTAACAAGTCCATCCATTTAGTATATACTATAAGAGTACTCGCACAATGCAGCGAGACACATCTCGATTTTAATGTTCTATTTTATTATTTGTCTCTGTAAATGTTATAATACGATTTTATGTGTTTTTAAGAAAACAATAATGATTTTATTTTTTAATAAAATATAAATTTGAAGATATCATAAAAATTTGATAAGAAAAAACCAATGTTAATATCAAATCAATTATTTAAAAGTTCTAATTTTTTATGTAATTTCTTTATTTTTTTATTATAATTTAATTTAAGTTTAATAATGAAATAATTTATTTTTGGTTTAATAATATAACATTTTATAAADATAATAATTAAGTATTCTGTTAGAACTYARTGATTATCCTAATTATATTTTAGATTTTTTATATTTAAAATAAAATGTTTATCTTGTATTTGATTATGTTTATCTGCAGTTAGTTACACGAATTCAGATATGGAGCTTTACTAAGTCATACTTACGCACAATCTACTTGCAATCTTGAGTTTTAAGTAATATGCATTAATAACAGTACTTTACGTATAAAAAATGGTTTTTAAGAGTTTTTTTCAAATGCTTTATAATATAGTATTGATTTAGTTTTTTTTGATTAAATATTTTAAATTTGCAAAATATTATTTGGGAAATTTATATTCCTTTTTATGACATGAATTAACACGTTAATCTTTTATGGTTTATTTTTATAAGGATAAATTGTATGAAAAAATAATGTATTTTAACTTGATTTTTTTTTAAGCAATATACTTTCAAAACTTTCATTTTGATACATAAGATGTAAAGTTTTAAATATTTAAGCACCCGAGTAACCAGTTGAAGACTAATTTTAAATTAAAAATATTTATGTCACTAACCACGTCAGCAAATATTACTGAGTTGGATGCCATATTAGCATGATAATATGTTAATACTTCAACCGGTTATCCATATACTTAAATTTTAAAACTTTACATTTTGGATAACAAAATAAAAGTTTTAAAAGCAAGTTATTTAAAGGGAAAAGTACAATAAAAACCAATGGATTTTCTTGTTTGGAATGATTAAGTCATTGGACTTTTTTTTGAAACAAATAAGTCCTTGGATATTCCCAAACATGTTAATAAGTCCTTGGACAATTTTTTAGAACAAATAAGTCTTTGGACAATTTTTTTAAACAAATAAGTCATTGGACATTCCAAAATATGTTAAATAAATCATTGGACAATTTTTAAAACAAATAATTCCTTAGACATTCAAAAAATTATTAAATAACTTCTTAAACAATTTTTAAAACAAATAAGTCCTTGATTAATCCGTTTCAAACTCCATTATTTTTTTTCCCCATGCAATTTGCAATTTTTGTAAATATATATTTATCTCCCCAAACGTTCGTGTCTGCAACAGAAAACCCTTTTCCATGGTGGTGTTCTCTTCGGTAAAACGGTTTCTATAAACATTGTAAGTATGAACAAAACCCTAACTTCAATTTGCACAACTTCGTTTCAATATATACACACATTGTTCTTTTTCCCCTGTTGATTTTGGATGGTAAACCCAGAATTTCACACAAATCAAGATGAATTTAGTGTTTAATTTTGTTGTAAAAGGTTGAAATTTTTGGGAGTCTGAAGTGAAATCGCCATGAGAGATGGTTATCAGATGCTTAATTAGCTTCTTTCGTAGCGGGTGGTTCAAAAATTGATTTAACTTGGCTTCAACTTACTTCAAGGTTCAAAGCTCTAATTCTCCTCGCTCTCCATTATACTTCAGTTTTCTGCTATTTATTTATTGTTTATTTATTATGATCATGGATATGTGTTTTGAATTTGGTACTAAAAAAGGGGGAATCATAGATTCATCATCTTGCTGATTGTATACTAGACAGACCAGTAATGTTTGTAGTCTTTCCAATATGAAAACTTCTAAAAGAAGTAGTTCTAAATAACATCTTATGGCCATGTTATGGCGCGTTATGGCATAAAGGCTTGGATTCGCTGCCACGTTAACCCCCTTGAGTTGGCTTGCATTATAACACGTTATGGCTTGTTACGACGCTTTATTTTGTAAGGTGTGGGGTTATGTTTAATATATAAGTTGAGGGATAAATGATAATTATGTATGAGACCTAAAAGGCTAAAACTTAAATAAAACTAAAACCTTAAATAGATAAATATGAAGAGTCGAACACGAATTCTTTGAAAATTGAAGAAAGTAGTGAGAAAAGATTCAAGAGATATAATCCCGATTTTGCACTCGATATCATTTTTTATCTATATATTTGGTATCAGTGGTTCTTTTTTATTACTTTACATGAATTTTGTTTGTTCTATGATATTATTCAAAACACCAACACACATAAGTGTGTATGTGTGTGTGTGTATATACATATGCCACCTTAGGGCCTTGAAAAAAGCCGCGGCCTCGCCGTAACTCGTAAGGCTTAGGGCTTGACCTTGCCGCCACGCCGCGCCTCACGTCATTTAGAACCTTAAAAGATTACTAACGGTGGTACTCTAACCTACTTTTCCCTGTTTTAATTTTCTTTTTGTTGGGTTTCTAACATGTCTACAGGATTGCAGTGATGGAATCAGGTGATTCCATGGAAAGAGATGGTGTTTGGATGCCCTTGACCCCAGGAAAGCCAATTCCCGCTAGGTTAGGGTTAGGGTTGCATTCGGTTCAACCGATGGGAGGTCGACATAACTGCAAGGCGACATTAACTTCTGGACAAGGGACAGGAATCGAGAATCTAAATGAGGCATTTCCATTTATGGCTTCTTTCAATGCTACTGGATATTTGGAACATAATGGAATTAATGAGATGTATGGATTGAAGGCTGGTTTTGGTGAACGTGAAGCGGATTTGGGTGTGGCTGGAAAGGATCCTAAAAGCAATGCAGCGGATCAGCGTAAGATGTCTTTACTCTACTTATAGTTTTTGGAACTTCTGGTGTGTGAAACTGTGTTGTTAACGCCTATGAAAACTAAAATGCATATTTGTAACATCCCAGGCCAACATTACCAAATATTGTCTGCTTTGTTCACACCCGGATTCACGGTCTTAAAACGCATCTAATAGAGGAGGTATCCTGTCTTTTAGAAGGCAATTTTTGTTCCCATCCCCAACTAATGTGGGATCTTACTGATTTAGTATTTTAGTAATTGGTATATTGATCAGCCATACAATGACCAGTTGCTACTTTCATTATTGAGAATCAGAAAGAATTCTGAAAGTCAAATTTGAAATGATTTGCTATTCCTTTACCACCGAAATCTTTCTATTTGTAATACTTGTTTATAATCTATTATGGTAACTGGGTTTTTCAAGTTGAAAGTAGTTTGACTTTTCAAAGTCAAAGTCTTTTTGATGGAGGGTGTATGAGACTAATAATTCTATCTTCTTTTTTAACTGATCATCTGGATTCCTGCATAAGTGCTTGAACTCTTTTAACCCATTAGGATAAATACACAATGCAATCTCTTAGCCATTTCAGTTAAGATGCGTCTAATGTCTAATTCATTAATCTTGAAATAGTTTGCTTTTGTGTAGATGACACAAGCTGTGCACGAGAGGAGGAAGTCAAAGTACCTCATTCCGAGTGTGACAGTAAAAACGTTCATCGTGTTCATGAGTCACGAGCTGGTGTTGGCTCAGTTCCTACTACATCTGAGAAAAAAGATAGCAGGAAAAGGCGTAATGATGGCATTGACTTGAATAAGAAGCCAAGTCAAAGACCCCGAATGAAAAAACACAGGCCTAAAATATTAGATGATAGCAAACCAAAGAAAGTCCCAAAGGCTCAAACACCACGGGCTTCTACCCCAAGACCAAAAACTCCAAAACCCGTAACTCCAAATCGGGTACAAGAGAGGAGGAAGCCGGCAAGAAAGAACACATTCACAGGGTCAACCAGTTGTATGCAAAGCTCAACTAGTTATGGCTATAAAGATGTTGTGCAAGATGTCCAATCAGCTTCTATGTCGTCCATAATCGTTTTTAAGTCATGCAAGCGTTCCTTGGATTTTAACCATCATCTAGTTGATGGAAAGTCTCATTATGTGTCAAAATCACATGTACAACCCCGAAGCGTTAATTATGACCTTGGAGAATTTAGTTATTTCGGTAAGCTTGTTACTTCCAAGAGAAATACACCAAGGAGGAGTAGGTTTCAAAAAAAGTGTCTTAAAGCTTCAGAGGATTTGTTGGCAGATAATAACAAGCAGCAATGCCATCAAGATACTTCAGTCATAAGAAATCAAGAACTAGCTGAAACACATGGTAGAAGGTTTGTTTACTTTTATCAACGCCGAAAGAAAAGAAGTTCAAACGCAACCAGTGTCATCCCTACGCTGCAAGTATATCGAAGGAAATTTAGAGCAAATCAGTGTCTACAAAATAGCAAAAAAAGTGGACCCAATTTTCCAAGTATATTCAAGAAACAAAGGGCAAAGAGAAGAAAGGCCACTATGAATGTAAATTGGTGGTACATCAAGGCTTTTGAAGATGGGAAGAAACGCGTGAAAAGATCACATAGAAAGCACATACAAACTACTGGAAAAAGTGTACATAATGGGGTCAATAAATCCAAAGACCACAAAGGAGTGGTGAAACCCAATCTTCATACGGCCGAAAGATTTCTTCATGTGTTTTTAACCAAGAAAAGGAAGCGATCCATACGACACACTCGTAGGCGAGAAAATATCTTGGACATTCCTATTTTTAAAACAACGCCTTATGAAAGTGAAAAAAGGAGAGAAAATATCATGGAGTTATCTATTTTTAAAGCAATGCCTTATGAAACTGAAATATGCCTTCCACAGCAAGAAGAAAGTTTTCTAAAGGTTACGGAATGCTTCCCACTACAAGAGGTTCCGATCCAGACAATTGAGAGTTTTACCTCATTTCACCGGAATGTGCAACTAGTTGATAACTCTGTTGATGCTCTAAAGTCGCTCCAACTACAAGAGGTTCCGGTTCTTGGAAGTCAAAGTTTGCTACCCGGAGACCAAGCTACCCCGCTTTCTAAAAAAGGTAATTAAGCTAATGTCATTAACAACATATTTTTTTTCCATTGCCAGTTATGGAATCTAGGGGTGTTCGCTCCCCAAACTGCGTTTGCGGTTGAGCATTTTCCCAAACTGCAAATTGCACCGCCTAAACCTCAAACCGCATTTTGCGGTGTGGTTTATGTGGTTTGTACCTATCACACTTTATGCTTACAATCCAATAACTATAAGTTGAAGAAAACATTAAAAAATCAATGATAAAGTGTCCGTAGTCCAAAAAAATAAAGAGTTTCAATACATCCCCGAATACATATTGCATAACTAAAATTAGTCTAAGAAGGAAAAATAAATAAACTTCAAACTGAATTGGACGTGTGGGTTAAAAAAAACTTAAAACTTAAGTTAGATATTGCAATATTGAATCAAATTCAAAGTCCAAAAATATTACATAAATAATAAATTAACAATTATTCTATATATATATATATATGTGTGTGTGTGTGTTATATAAAATTAAAAAATATACTGAATATGCGGACCTATCGTGTCTACTTGACCTTTTCTAAGCGGAGCCAGAATAAAGCCCCCATAAAAAGGACGCTTAATGTCTGCTGCTGATTCAACAGACTGTAGTGTCCGAGTAGATACTATTTTTGTCTCTCGAACCATAATAATATTATTTGATCAGATCACATTTTTTTTTCATATTGAAAAAGTATGAAGAACCGGAGGTGTGTAGTTTTACCCATTTAGTGACTTTGGCACTGGACGTTCCCAAACGGGTATTGTCGGTGCGGTCTGAACTCGGTTTGGTAACTCAAAACCGCAAACCCCTCCGCATAGTGCGATTTGGTAAGAAAGCAAACCGCATCATGAAAGTTCTAAACCGCGGTTTTGCGAATTGGACCAATCTGCGAATCGGTGCGGTGTGGGCGGTTTGGGTGAACACCCCTAATCGACGCTCTTATATATATCTTTTTACCATGATTGATGCAGAGTTAAATGAGTTGTATGTAAGAGAAATCACGGAGTTTGTAAGAAGGAAGATGGAGAATCTAGACATCAATGGTCAATGCAAGGAACTTGTGGTACGGGATCATAATTTCAGTGGGACGCTTGTAAAGACAGAACCTCCCAAGAAGCGCAAAGTGCTTCCCAAGGTGAATCTTGATGAGGAGACATTGAGAGTGTGGAAGCTGCTGATGGAGAATGATGGAAGTGAACCAGTTGAAGAAATGGACAAAGAGAAGGAGGAATGGTGGGAAAGACAGAGGAAAGTATTTCGTGGACGAGTGGACTCATTCATTGCCAAGATGCATCTTATCCAAGGTAATATTTAATTCTCTAAACAAAGTAATATACTGAACCGTCAATAAATTTGACATCTAGTCTCAAATTCATGCCACCATGAAATTTTTTTTCACTATTTTGTGGCATGGCACTTACTTTCACCTAGAGACGGGAATATTACCCGTAGGGACGGGGAATTCCCTCTTTGGTGGGTAAAGGGGCGGTGTCGGGATGACATTACCCGCCCCTAATCCGATCCCAATTAATCTTTTTATTTTATTTGATATATGTATATAGTATGTGAAATAAATATATATGTATACATTTATTATTAAATGACAAATATATTCGATTTTCAATATTGGTAATTAATGTAGTGACGGTTCGTTATAATTTAATTTTAAAATACCTTGTTTTTATTATTATTTTTACTGGGTACCCCGAACCAGGGGATTCCTTCCCCTGAACCCGTCAGGGATTAGTCTTTGACCCCTAAAATTTTCCAATTTTGTTAAATTGGGCCAAGATTTATGAATTATCTATGTAACATTATTGAAACAAGCAATTGGGCCTAATCACCGTTTTCCACTCAATATTTTGCATTTGCTTTTACTTGGAACAGTCTTGTGCATATATGGGTTCAAGATGATATTTCACTAAGCTAACAATTCCTCTCCACCATCCCTACCTTTCCATCTTATTCTCATAAAGATCTACCTGTTGTCTTTGTTTCTCTCCAGTAAAAGAGAATGTTATTAATGTGAAGTATATAGTATTCATATATGGCAAAACTCACAAACACTCACTCAGGACATTTGGTGAGTTGACTTCCAGGTAGGTCGGGATCTACCGGTAACCTGGTTACCGCTGGGTCAATAACCCTTCGATAAAGAGAGTCAAATTAATAGCCTGCCTCTGCCATGTTCCTTAAATACTACTTCAAAGGTTTTGAAGATGATGTTAGATAATATGAAAACCAGATAACTATAACAAAGAAAAACCTGGACCTGATCTAGACTTCGTTTCTTGATTTTGTTCTTTTATCCTCTTTTCTCTTTGCTTAGTTCGTTGAGTGATTTCTAATGGCTTTCCACAATCTCTCTTGAATTAGTTGATCGACTACAAAGTCTTAGGGGGCGTTTGGTTCATGACGGAATCTGAAGGAAATTGAAATGATCAATTTCGTTGACCATATCCCTTTCAGGCGTTTGGTTTACCTATGGAATGGAATTGATTCCACACATTCCACCATTCATGGACTTGGTCATTCCATCACAATTGTGAATGAATTCAATTCCATTCCTTCCCATTTTCTCAAAAAGACAAAATTATCCCCGTCTTCCCTACTTGATTTACCCAGACCCATATGACCAACATCATAACCACCACCGACCACCACCTTTCTGAACCACCTCCGACCACCACCAGTCTTAACCACGGCCGACCACCACCAATCTGAACCACGGCCGACCACCACCGTTATAAAAGGAGTATTTTTGTCATTTATCATTTATTCATTCCAATTAGGAAGCTACATTCTACCAACCAAACAGGCAGCTTCAAAATCATTTAACATATTCCATTCTAATTCATTCCAGCCAAAAGCGCGGTCAAATTCCATTAATTCCTTCAAAGTCAAATTCCTTTGACAGATTTCATTCCTTCTGAAAACATTTTGCGAACCAAGAATGTTTTAATTGTTCTTTATTTTCTAGTAAGTTTTTTCTCTTTCTGTAAATGGGGTTCAAAGAGTAACTAAGAATGTTGCTTCATGCATTTGCTCTATTTTCTATATACACCCCAGTCCAAAACCCTTGCACCGAGAGAGGTGCATTTAATAACCAAACAAGTAACAACTAACACGTAGTTTAGGTAGTAATGGAAGATGTTTCACAAAGGAGGGAAAGATTGAGAAATATCGGAATAAAGAAAGGATGAACAAAATGGGAAGCATGAAAAAAATATGAAAGAGGAGTGAATCCAAAACAAGCATGACCCCAGTTTGCCACCTCATTTTAACTTATGTCGGCATATGCATGCAGGTACTTCCCTGAAATTTGGTCTTTTTTCGTTCTATCTTTATCACTTGGAAGAGCATTGACTGACTTAAGCACATCCTTCGCAGGTAACAGGCGTTTCTCACAATGGAAGGGATCTGTAGTGGACTCGGTGGTTGGAGTTTATTTAACTCAAAACGTGTCAGACCATCTATCAAGGTATGCACAATGTTTTTCTTCATACCCTGAATTTCAAATGTGATTCCATAAATGTCCAATAAATAAGTGGCATCAAGTAATCCCATTGATTATTGAGCAATAGAAATGTCTTCATGGAAACAACCGCTCTACTCTTTGGGTAGAAGACTAGTTTGCATACGTTCTACTCCCGAAGACCCTACTTCCGAGTGGGATATCTTGACTTCGTTTGGTTTTAGAAATGTGTACCCTTGAGGCCTTGTCAAATTCTGGGAAAAGAACTTTTGGATAGGTAAAGGCTATGAATTTGCGTTTAGGAAAAACATAATGGTTTCAAGAGGCCCTTTGGAATAGAGATGCGGGTATGATGAGGAGTTTATTTTATATGTTTTAGGTTCCTAAATTCAATTTCAAGAGATAACCATTCATGATTGCCTTCACGGAGGGTGAAGTATTTTGATTGTATGATGGTAAGAAGACACAAACACTTTATTTTACCATTTCAGGAAACAGTTGCTTGATATACCAATGCTTCTATTTTGTGTTTGGAGACTTAGAGTTGACTGTTGACAGTTGGTCGATTTTGAATATTTGCATTCAGATTTGTTTGTAAAAGCATTATCATGTTCCTCTTTATTGAAACAAAATTATTTTTTATTCCTGTGTTTATGAATACTAGTTTTTACGAAAACTGAGAGAGAAAAAATATTACATATTACACACCAAAGAAGAAGAGAAATTAATCTTAACAATAATCTCTCTTTCTCTTAACAATAATGTTTCTCTTCAGCTCGGCTTTCATGTCTCTAGCGGCAAGATTTCCGGTTAAGTCCACTAGCAAAGAAGTTTGTGACCATGGTGAAGTCGAAACTAGCCAAGAATTAGTCAGAAGTAATACAGTAGTTGATGGGAGGTTCTCTATGAATAATGAAACAGAGAAGGATATGGGAACTTCATGTGCTGATGTAAGCGATGCGACTCCAACCGTGAAACCTGAACAAGAGGGGCTTTCAAATCCATTTCTGGTTCAAGATAAGCCCTGTGTCGATGAAAATTCAAATGCTTTCAGAAAACTTCTCGACATAGAGGAGGTGGACTATCTAAAGCAATTTTATAGTTCCGCAAATGATAAATCGCCACTAAATGAGAGCAGAGATAATGGGGATTTGAATGTGAGCAAAGAAGGCGAAGAGCAAAGTGCAACATCTTTCGATTTGTCAATTTGTCATGAACCATGTGCTACAATTTCTGATGTAAACGTTGGTTTATGTGAAATTTCAGTCGTCAGGAACATAGAGAGGGAGGTGGTAGGGGAAAAGAACGGAGGTAATGCGCATTTAAAGCATTCGGAAAGTGAATTTGAGGGGAAAGAGGGGGTTTCAAATCCATTTGTGGTTCAAGATAAGCCATGTGTCGATGAAAATTCAAATGCTTTCAGGAAACTTCTCGACATAGAGGAGGTGGACTATCTAAAGCAATTTTATAGTTCCGAAAATGATAAATCGCCATTAAATGAGGGCAGAGATAATGGGCATTTGAATGCGAGCAAAGAAGGCGAAGATCAAAGTGCAACATCTTTTTATTTGCCGCCTCCTCATGAACCTTGTGCTACCATCTCTGATGTAAACGTGGGTTTATGTGAGATTTCAATTTTCAGGAACGTAGAGAGGGAAAAAAATCAAGGTAACGAGCATCTGAACCATTCTGATGGTGAATTCATAGCTCAACAAAAGTCAACAACCCTTGAAGAAGAACCAATAATTGCTACTCCAATTTGCACGCTAAATTCTGAAGTCACCATTGAACAAAGCGTAGATGCAGTAAACAATCACCCGAGCATGAAAGCAATCCCGTTAGACCCTCGAAGCACTGGAAAAAAGAAAAGCCGAACTGACGAAAAGCAAGAAATGAAGACTGATTGGGAAAGTTTGAGGAGAACTTATTGCAAAAGTGGAGGAAAAGAAACCAATGAGAATAACATGGATGCGGTTGATTGGGATGCAGTTAGGCGTGCTACAGTCGAAGAAATTGCTGAAACTATAGTTGAAAGAGGAATGAATAACGTGTTAGCTGCACGGATAAAAGTATGCGACTGTTTTTTTTTCATAAACTAAATAACGTTTTTTTCATTTACAAGGTTGGATTATGTCTTCACTTTCTGGCAGGAGTTTTTAGACCGAATGGTTAAAGACCATGGAACTATTGATCTCGAGTGGTTAAGGGATGTTCCACCAGACAAGGCAAAGTAAGTGATGTAATGAGTTATACTCCCTCCGTCCAAAATAAATGTCCACTATGAAAAAGGCACACAGTTTTAGAAATGTGTAATTATCACACTTAATTATGAACGTGGACACTTAGGGGGTGTTTGGTTTGCAGGATTCCAATGGAATTTGATGGAATTGGAATGGATAATTCCATTGACCAAATTCCATTCCAGCATTTGGTTTACATATGGAATGGAATCGAATTCCATACATTCCACCAACCATGGATTTCATCACTCCATCATGGTGTGGGAAGGAATTGAATTACATTCCAACCAATTTTCTTAAGATGACAAAACTACCCCAATAAACCAATTTTCTTAAATTATTATATTTATAGTTTAAGAAACAATAAAAAGATACAAATTCAAAGAAAGGGTATTTTGGTCATTTTTGTCATCTAATTCCAATTCCTTTGTAAAATAAACAAACATATTCCAATTCATTTGACAGATTACATCCCATTTCCTGCCAACCAAACACTTTGTCAAACCTGATAACATTCCATTCCAATTCCTCTAACATATTCCATTCCTTCGAAAAACATTCTACCAATCTAACTCCCCTTTATTTTGAGACAAACTAAAATATAAATGTGGACACTTATTTTGGGACGGAGGGAGTAGTAACTAAAACAACTATTAAGGTTTGATATTCACCGAGGATTAGAGCTCATAATTTTATGCTTGTAGGGAGTTCTTGCTGAGCATACAAGGAATTGGTTTGAAAAGCGTGGAGTGCGTACGACTTTTAACACTACATCATCTTGCTTTTCCTGTAAGGGTTTTGGCATTTCAGCAAACTTTTTTATCTTACAAGATTACTTTGCATTTCAACATTTGCTATTTCCTTCGTAAAAGGTTGACACAAATGTTGGTCGGGTAGCCACACGTCTAGGGTGGGTTCCACTGCAGCCCCTCCCTGAAGAAGTTCAAATTCATCTTTTGAACGCGTAAGTTCCACTATGTCAGCATATTCCATCGTATATTGCTATTTACATCCTCCATTCTTGAAGTAAGTTTCACGATTGTAATTTGCTGATATTTCATTTCAGGTACCCAATGATGGACTCCATTCAAAAATACCTCTTCCCCAGGCTATGCACACTTGATCAAAGAACATTGTAATCTTTTCCTTTTTGCATGCTCAATCAGTTTTCAGTATAGATATATGTTATCCAATTCTGACTCTACTCTTTGGGGTAGAGGCCATTGGTTTGGTTTATACATGTTATCCAATTGTAAGTTACTAAGAAATGCTACAGCTACATAACTCAAATTTTGTACTCGAACCTAAGGTAGTGTTTGCTGCGCATACTAGATGGGACAGGACCAAGGGGCTGTTTGGTTGGTTTTCCATTAGTCCCTTTATGGATAAAGCTATTTGTGTGGATTAATCTGTCTGTATCGATTGAGAAAGTTTTTGTTTGGGAGGGTTTTTTCATAGATGGGATGAGCATTTTTTTTAATTGGGAAGGGCAGGTTTGAAAAAAAAACCTTGGCTTTATGCATAAAGCTCCCCCTAGAAGCTTACTGAATAAGCCACTTTCTATATCATTAAGCCACTACCAAGCAGTCATGTATAGCTGATCGAATAAGCTGTGAGTCCCATTAAGCTCATTAAGATGCTAACAAACAGGTCCTTGTTTGTCGTGCATTTGGTACAACTAGAACAATACAAGACAAACTGTTAAAATGATCATATTGCCCCTAAAATGTTGGTTATATAATTTTATTATAAAAAAGAAAATTACAATTTATCATATATATAATCTTAGTGTATACTATACCTAGTCATTTTAGATTTTGTTATGCTAGGAGGGTAAAACAGTAATTTTGTGTTTTGTCCAATGTTGTTCCACCTTTTTGGTTTGAACAAAAAACTCTAGTTTTGTCCCATGAAATTCCTACCGCATTCTTGTCACATGTCAAAGCCAAACATGGGACTTTTTTTTCTTGTTCCTTCCTGTCCCATGTAGTTTGCGCACCAAACGTACTCTTAACATACGCAAGATTAAAATTTTGTCATAGACTGTTTAGCTCTTTACTTTTTTTATTAAATTTTATATCTATAATTTAATACAATTGTCATTCTCTTATAGAGCACTTGTGTAAATTTTAAGTTAAAAAGGCAAAGTCCATTTTGACCATCAAAAGTCAGATATGCAGACTTGCTTTCCTCCATTTAACTACTGTTACAAGTTGTTGTTGCTTGTTTCAAACAAAATTTACCAGCATCACGAGCCTTAGCATTATTCATCACTATTGTTACTATGAATCTTATTATGCTGTTCTATACTTGAATACAGATACGAGTTACATTATCAGTTGATCACGTTCGGAAAGGTATGTTTCTTTTCTTCATTCTTTCTTTATTTCCATCACAAGTTTAACTCCCAACTTTTTTCAGCTTACGATATTCACATTTTATAGGTATTTTGTACCAAGAAAAGTCCAAATTGCAATGCATGTCCCATGAGAGCAGAGTGCAGACATTATGCAAGCGCATTTGCTAGGTTTGTATCTTGTCTATTTGCCATCCTCATACATACACATACATATATATATATATATATATATATTACTAACCATAAATAAATTTTGATTGATAACTAGACAATAAAAGTATATTTATATATTTGTATTTTTAAGAAATTATATATAAGAGGGAGATTCAGGGAAAACCCCCAAAAAATAAAACACTGAGGAACACCCTAATAACCGTTCATCTGTACTATGCACATGTGCATATAAGTAATTGAAGATGTTTCTTGGTTTCTATGCACATGTGCATACCAGAAAAATTACTTACAAATTACTTGTATGCACATGTGCATTACTTACAGATGAATGGTTACTAAAGTGTTCCTTGGTTTTTTCATTTTTTTGTGGTTTTCCCACCCTAATATATAATTTGGCAAAAGGCATCAAAGTTTAGTTTAGTTTCTAGTTTGTATGATGAATTTTTTTTTCTTGATCAATGTAACAAAGTTTCAAAATTTACCATTTTGTACCCATTTTGACCTGTAAGCTACGACGTGGATGCCCATTTATGAAAGGTTTACGAAAGGGCAACGGCAAAGTGGAAGGTAAACTGACATCCAAATCATCAAATGTTACAAGGTTAACAGTAAATATAGGTGAAAAGTAGAAAATTTTGAAACTTTGTTATATTAAATAGGAATTTTTTGTAGCTTCATTACATTGATTGAGAAAAAAGAATATATTTGTTACATTAAATAGGAACCAAGGCAACTTCATTGCATTTTTATGCATTTTGCCTTGCACAAATTTGGGACAAGGGAAGATTTTCGCGCATTATTGACGTCAAGTTGTCGAATGTAGTGCTAGGCTTGCCCTTCCTGGTCCAAAAGAAAGTAATGCAACTTCAATCGTCCCAGCTGCAAATGAACAAAACGATTCAATGCTTAAAACACCACCATCATCCTTCGTATTAGAACTCGACAACTTGGCTTCAACTTATCATGTTCGAAATAGCGAGCCCATAATCGAAGTTCCCCTATCTCCGGAGCCTGAAGACGCATTGCCAATCATACGCGATATTGAAGACTACTATTGTGAGTCGGATGATGAAATTCCCACCATCAGACTTAACACCGAAGAGTTTCGAGAAACTTTAAAGGATACTATAGACGTTAATAATATTTCTCTCCCAGAGGCTGAAATGTCGAAAGCCCTAGTTGCTTTAACCGCACAAGCTGCCTCCATTCCGGCACCACGAATGAAGTACGTAGCGAAGTTGAGGACTGTACACTATGTGTAAGTTGGTTTTATAGAAATCTACTTTTTTTTGGGTTTATCTTCTTTATTTGTTTTTTTACTTTATCTCTGTGGACATAAACAATTTTTTTTGCAGCTATGAGCTCCCAGACTACCATCCGAGTTTGGCTGGGGTAAGTATTCCTAACCTATTTGCTACTTACGTCATCCCAAAAAGTAGAGTTGTTCTATTTGTCACGTAGGATAAAGTTGGTAAAACTTGTGATCACAGTCGACCTCACCTCACTTGTATCTTATAATTACCGCTAATAGGTAAATATGGAAATATAAAAAAGGGCAAAATACAATGAAGTTTGGTTTAGTTCATATTTAGTGTAAAGAAGATAACTTTTCTTAATCGATGTAATAAAGTTTCCAAATTTTCTTTTGTGTTCCTGTTTTGAGCGGTAACCTACTGATATTGTAATATCTGATGATGTGGATACACGTTTACGAAAGGGTAACGACGAAGTGGATGATAAACTTGATATCTATGTCATCAAGCGTTACAAGATTAGCAGGTTAACGGTCAAAATGGATACAAAATAGGAAATTTTGAAACTTTGTTACATTGTTTGAGAAAAGATAATTATTTATTATACTAAATAGGAACTAAAGCAAACTTCATTGCATTTCGATACATTTTTCTTGGTAAAAACCGTTGCCTTTTTTGGGACAATCCAAAATAGAAAGTATTGCACTTTTTTGGGATGCCGGAGTATCAAAAGATTTTATGAATCAAAGGTATTTGAATCTTTTCCTAACACACTATTTATGAATACATATAGTTTGACGAAAGGGAACACGATGATCCAACCCCATACCTTCTTGCCATTTGGCTTCGAGGTATTGAATTTAATTGCTCAAAACTATCTTAGGTCCACTGCAATCTTTAATATCATAAGTTCTCATTTTTGCTTTCTCAAACAGGTGAAACTTCCAATTCATTAGAATACAACAATGATCAAGAAGAAATGGTTAAAGGAACGGTCTTGGTGAGGAAATCCTAAACCACTTGATTATAATATTAGGGGAAAGTTCATTTAGGAACCACAAATATTTTGAGAATTGCGAGAACCAACTATTCATTATGAATATGCCTAAATATTTTTCATTATGATACATTTTCATTATTCATGAATATATTCATTATGAATAGTTGATTCTCATGGTTCTCAAACAAACCTGCCCCTATTATGCTAATTTGTGAGAACCAACTATTCATTATGAATATGCCTAAATATAATTCGTCATTCTACATTTTCATTATTCATGATACTCGTCATGAATATCTATCACAATATTCATTTTGAATAGTTGGTTCTCATGGTTCTCAAATGAACCTGCCCCTATAAATGCTAATTTGTGAGAAACAACTGTTCATTATGAATATGCTTGAATATTATTCATCATGATACATTTTCAACTATTCATGATACTCTATCTTGATATTCATTATGAATGGTTGGTTCTCATGATTCTCATGGTTCTCAAACGAACCTGCCCCTACAATGCTAATTTTACGACTTTTCATGATGTTTCTAAGTTGATAAATACCAATATGCATTTATAGATACCTTGTCGAACTGCAAATAGAGGGAAGTTTCCCCTCAACGGAACATATTTTCAGGTTAATGAGGTATGTGTGCTTCTCCAAGATGCTGCTTTTTTTGAGCAAAAGGTTGATTACCTGCGACCCCGACCGGGCCCGGAACCCGCCCCCTAGGAACCATATGTGAGGAGGCATTTCATAGATGACTCAGCGTCTAAGGCTAGTGGAGGGGTTCAACCCCATCCCACGCAGGATTCGAACTTGAACCTGCTGTGTATTTGAGCAAAGTCGCTCTGCCCCTTTGCATCATAATCATGAATTTATATATTATTCAGGTATTTGCCGATGATGAAACTAGTCGGTTTCCGATGGACATTCCAAGATGTCAGCTGTGGAATTTGCCAAGGCGATATCTAGGCTGTGGTACATCTGCAACATCGATATTTAAAGGTGTGTTTTAACACATTTTTATCGTTCAAATTTTGAGTTTTGTGATTAGGGTTTGAATTGCTAACTCTGTTGTACTTGATCAGCCCTTTCAACCAGTGATATTCAGCGCTGCTTTTGGAAAGGTACGAAGAAACAACTTCTCGTGTTTGATTGTACATATTTGTTCGAGTCTCATATCAACTAGATTTTTTGGCCCTTTTTCTAAATATTGTTGGAACCTCCTTTCTCTCCTCAAAGACTCTTTTGGAGGATTCCACATACTCTAAAACGGTATCAGAGTCAAGGTCTAACACTCTTAGGGACACTTCTCACATAAGCTAAATTTGGAGGGTGTGTTGGAGTCTCACATCAGCTAAATTTGGATCATTTCTCTCAATATATATTGGAACCTCCCTTCTCTTCTCAAAGGCTCTTTTGGAGGGTTCCACATATTATAACATGGTATCAAAGCCAAGGTCCACTACTCTTAGGAACAATATGTGTTTGTCTAGCCTCTGTTGAAGTCTTACATCAGCTAGATTTGGACCATTTATCTCGATATATGTTGGGATATCCCTTCTCTCCTCAAAGGCTCTTTGGTTCCACATATTCTAACATGGTATCAGAGCCATAGTCTATCACTCGTAGAGACAATATGTGCTCATGGAGAGGGTGTGTTGGGAGTCTCGGGACTTTCTCTCAATATTGTTGGAACCTCCCTTTTCTCCTCAAGAGCGCTTTTGGAGGGTTCCACATACTCTAGCATGGTATCAGAGCCAAGGTCTATCACTCTTAGGATAATATGTGCCCATCTAGCCTCCATTGTATTAGGATTCTCGTGTCCGCTAGATTTGGACCATTTCTCTCGATATATGTTGGAACCTCTCTTAACTCCTCAAGACTCTTTTGGAAACTAAGCTAATGAGTTTCTTACAATTCTCACAATATTGATTTCACTCATCTTTTGGCTTGAAAAATGAACAACTTTGGAAATTGTAGGAATAGAATTAGTGAATCTTTATGGAATTCGTCTTTCCTAAGGGATATGTTCTCTTGATTGATTGTTATTGCAGGATCGATATGTGTAAGAGGATTCAACAGAAAAACGCGGCACCCGCGTCCTCTTCATCGAAGATTTCATATTTCAACAACCGCAATTGCAGCAGAGAACAAAAGAACAGGGAAGAGATAGCATTATTAGACTTGTGTACATAAATTAGCTTGAAAATAATTAGGGAAGAGAATAGGAAATTCCTTGACTTGTAATTAATTTCGAGTGTTTCTAATCGATCTTTTAGTTTTAGGCGGTGGTTATTCGTATCCCGTGTTATTATGGCCTTTGAGTTTCTGGTCATCGATCTATATATAGGAGTGATCATATGAAAACCGTCCTCATTTGTGTAAACCGTGCAAACCACCTTCATCTGTCGATTTCATTGTTTAATCTTATGAAATTTTTTCATGAAATTGTTTAATCTTGTGAAATTGTTTCATATAATACTTTTTTTGATGAAG